GAAATTGCCCTAGGATGACCGAACAGTTACAAACTTTATAGTGCCGCTTAGAATGCATTTTTTGAGATCATGAAGTCCCCTGGATAGCCTAAAAAAGTGTTTCAATGTATTTAGGAGGAAACACTGTCGTTGGGAGCCCCTGCAGTTGTCATTCTACTCATGAAGAAAGTGAAGAAAATTAATAATTAGCGAATAGAATTACAAGAAAAGTGAACTTGACCTCTTAGGCAACATTGTTTTAACCATAACATAGGAAACATAAACAAAAGCAACACAGAACAAAGTGAAGGCTAACTGTAAACTGATAGTTAGGACCAATACATCCCAGGGAGTTTGCCTTTTGGTCGAGGGTCGAGGGTAACTAGTCGAGGGTAAATGGTAGAGGGTCGAAAAATCCTCCACAATAATTTCTGAATTTCTTTTCAATTTAAAACCTAAAATTCCCAAATAAAGCAACCAAAGGAAAGAAGCGGGACAGGAAGTTCAATAAATACCATAATACCATTAAACTGTTGACTGAGAACTTTGAAGCAGGATCTCAGCTCTAATTTTCTTTAACTATTAGACATTTAGGATTCGATTTAAGACAGAGTACAATGCATGTGCATTTTTTCTTTAAAGTTTTAGATTTGAGAAAGAGTCCGAACGTTCACTAACTACATGATACTCGGCAAACTAGTCTGACCAGGATGCAGGGTGTGAAGTATAAGTTGAATACGGAGCCCTCGTAAGTGGACTTGAGTAATAGCTAAGGAAATGAGTGAAATGTAAAATGACAAAGTGAGTAAAAGCTGAATAATGCTACTGAGCCGATGTGGGTGAATTTCAAAACGAACTGTTTCCGTACTCGTTTTACTTTTATACGAAATAAAATTTAATAGTGGAGCTCCACGCGCAAATCTACCTATCCCAGAAAACTTGGTAATCACGTGACCGTACACCGACCGCCGACCGACCGTCTGTCCGCACCACAGGACAACCAATGTTTACTCTCACACTTTTAGCTAGTTTGGGAGCCCAAGAGAAAACTAATTGCTCATCAATGTTGTAATCAATTGACAGCTGTCAAAACAGGGCACCCGCTGACCAGTATCACCTGACCGTAGCGCAGGCTCAAGTGTCGACCCATCAAGGTCGAGTATTTTTTGAAGTTATCCGCTGACAAATTACCAGTTTGAAATGATCGCAGGCTCAAGTTTATTTTTTCCAAGGATTCATATCAAATATGTTGTGTTTATGTCACTATGGCCTCGCACTATTAGGATTTTGATTTCAAAGTGACTTCAGAAGCGAAAATTCAGCCAGTGTTTTTAAAGTACAGGCGGGGAAGACCTTATCTTACCATGGTCACGCGTTGGTCACGCTCTACATCCAATTTTATACTTTGATTGGTCAAAATTTGACAGGTGAGTTCATGCAAAAAAATTATGCAGCATCTTGAAAGTTGTTTACTTTGACAGCTGAAGCTGAAGAGTTTTGTGTCAACTTGTGATGTTTTTAACTGTCTTATTCTTCTGGATGTACAAAATGAAATACAGCTGCTATCAAGAGTCTTCTGTTATTCATGGCTGGTTTGTTTACTGGGTTTTTGGTTGAGAAACGCGTCGCTTGTCATAATTTGGTAATTCGATTTCGGATGGCATTGTTTTCATTTTTCACCTTGCTTAATGCGTAAGAGGGTTTAAAAGTCTCAAGCAACTGTGGCCTTCCTTGATAGCTTTCAGGAACTGAATCTCGAATGGTAAGCCTGCGTAACTATTGTATTTGATGTTTGTTTTTGTTATATCTAATTTTATGAAGTCTTGCACAGTTCATGCTGACCGGCGGGGCTAAAGTGCAGGTCACAGGTTACAGGCCACAGGTCACAGGCCACAGATCAGGTCGCAGGTCACAAAAAACAATAGGACACTGGACAAAACTGTTCTGGACTGACGTTTTACTATACAAAAATAAAATAAGCCAAGGAACCTTGATGGTATTTTTGTCCTTTAAACAATATTAAATTCCACACATGGAATAATATTTTCATGCTGATCATACAGCATATCCAAACTTGGTAACAAAATCACAAAGATGTGCAAGATCATGTGATTTGTACGAAAAACAAATCACATGTTTTTCACTGAAAACGAAGTGTTGTCGTGTTATTAGAATGTCATCTCCAAATAAAACTGTGCAGCCAAGACAACTTGGAGTGAGTCATTGAAATGCAGCACTGTAATCCTTTGATACAGCAGCAGTTTACAGAGTCAAAGATTCAAGTTGTAATGGCAGAATGCTCCCACCTAAGGTCCACGAGGCAAATCCAACAGAGGTTTTTCGAGCTGTTGTGCAATAGAACGTGAGAAAATGGCAAGCTCTTGGAAGAAGAGCCGAGAAATATGGTCCAGCAACTATTTCAGAGGCCCAAATAGCAGTGTCTGAAGTTCTTAGCAACAGCAGTATTTTGTGACTGGTACGAAGCGCGAGCAGCAGGCCGCCATCTTCAAAGGAGATGGAAGACCGATCTAGTGGCAAGAAGAGTTTAGGACGAGAAAGTCTGAAGAAAGTTGCCGTATTTCAGTGGTCAAATAAGTTTTAGACTGTCCTTACGTTGTTCTTCCGTTTTATCATCTAATGCTTTTCAAAACATCCACAAACACGTCATGATATTCTTAATGCAACAACCCTTCGTTTTGAGATTCGTTGTTCTAACAAGTCACCTTATTTTGCTTACGCTGTAACGCAAGTCCTCCTTGCCTGATAAACATGAATATATTTTCTCATGTGTGGGATTTGGTAAAGTTCAGAACAGAAAAAATATAATTGAGGTTCCTTGGCTTGTTTTATTTTTGCATAATGAAATGTCAATCAAGAACAGTTTTGTCCAGTGTCCTATTTTTATATATATATATATATATTTTTTTCTTTATTGACAACAAATTAACAACATTAATACACAGCAGAAAGTAAAAGAACAAATAAGTAAATAAATATGTCAGTAAGTAATCAAACAAATTACAATAAAAATGAAAAGTATTGGAAAAAGAAAAAAAAAACCTGTCAGTTGCCACACGTATTTAATATTGTTTGCCACAATTTTCAATGCAATGTTGTTCAAAAAGCTTACATAAAAATTCCTCTAAATTAGGTTTCGTTACAATGTTTTTGCAAGTATACAAGTATTTCTTTTGTAGTAAAACCAATAGACGAAGTTTGCGTTGAGTTGAAATTGGCATTTGCATTGGAAGGGAGTCATCTTGTTTGAAAGTTGTACATTCTCTTTGTGGTATTCATTAAACCACCTTAAAGTTTTGGAAAAGAATTCCTTTGACTCTTGACAATATAAAAAGGTGTGTTCAATTGAATCTGGATTAAGGCAGAAAGGACATTTATCATCCGAGGATAATTTATATTTCAGTAGTTCTTTCTTTGTCGTGATTATTCTGTGCACAACCTTAAAGGTGAATTGTCTAAGCTTATTATCTTTCGAGGACTTGTGTATATTCACAAAACAATCACTCCAATTCGGAATTTCTGAAAAGCTTTTCTTCCAAGCCCTTACTGCGGAGGGTTCTGAAACAATCTTCTCGATGAACAGTCTGTAATAATTTTTACAACGGAATTTGGTTAAGACTATTGTTCTATCTTCTAGTTGACAGTACTCTGAAGTTGCTCCAAGCAGATCAGGAACCGTGGAACCAAATGCCTTTCGTTTCAAATCCGGAGGAATGGCAGCAATTAATTGAAAATAGTGCAAATAGTTAGCTTTAATTTTAAAGTCCAGTGTCCTATTGTTTTTGTGTGTGACCTGTGATCTGACCTGTGACCTGACACCTGACCTTTGACCTGACCTGTGACCTGTGACCTGTGACCTGTGACCTGCACTTTAGCCCCGCCGGTTTGAACGGTTTGATATAAGCTTACAGAACTTTAAAAAGCCTTCAGTTATATTTGCTCACCACAGAGAGAAAGAAAACGTTCCGAAGAATATTTAGTTATAAATTTGGCTGTAGAAAGAAAACTTTGAGCGATTTTCTTGCTTCGAGGAGTTCACCTTGGAAAACAGTAAACACCCGCGCCGGGAAGCAGGCCTATAAAGCTTCGCACCGAGACTCAGGATTTTTAGAGACACTTTAATACTTGTCTTCATAAATGAAAATTGTTATCTCTGTAAATGTTTTACCGAATTATATTTCTTTTTCGGATTGTTAGTAGTCTCTCTTGCAATTTTAATCGCTTGTCTGTGCCGTTTGTTTTCATTGTTCATGAACATCGCTTGCAGGAGTACTAAAAAATGTCGCGCGTATCAAACGCTTTATAAGATTACACATCTTATAACTGAAATAACAAAAATAATAATAATAACTTCGCTATTATGTTGAAGCTTAACTCTATTAAAGTTCATTCAAACACTCGACCATACTGACAGCTCGCACTAGAGAAACGAGAACCGGCTGGCCATATGGGTGATTTTGGAAATTTTTGAACAGTTTCGCTTTACGATTGATCGTCCTAAATATTGACTGAGTGCAATTTATCTTGAAAAATTGTGAAATACTGCATTCTGTCCGAGGTCTGTATGATAAATAGTACTGTTTCACCTCAAATGTGATGTACAAAAATTGTAAAAGGTTGGTTTAAACACTCCCAGATTTGTTGGCAAGAATTTGTAAAGTAAACCTGTCGAACGCAAAAAAATTCGGCGTGATTTGTTTTTCAAGAATTTGTTTTTGAGGCCTAATCTACTGTGATCTTGAATGTGATCGAGGATGTTTGCTATTTTTTGGGTGTACATATAAGGTTATCAATTCGATGTAAGATGTTTCACTCTAAAATAACTTAGCCTTTCCCTCAAAAGTCACATGAATGTGCCCTTGAGTTAAATGATTTGTGGATTAAAAGTTTATTGTTTGATTTAAATTAAAAATGTATTAATTGGAGCTTCGCTTTTAGCCCTGGCTAAATCTATATATTATTTTATATGAAATAAAATTGTATTGTTTTATATAAAACAATAGCTTAGCAATTTCTTTGCCCCCACTTTGCGCGCTTCTGTGACTAGCAGCCCTAATGAAATTCACAGGCACTATTACAAATTACCTTTTGTTGGCCCCTTCTTGACTTACGCTCAACACAGCATTAAGCGCTTAACTCAACGCTATTGTAAGAACTTAGTCATCAAGTTAGTGTTTGCCCCATACAAGATCAAGAACCTATTCAGTGCCAAAGATGCGATCTCTTTAAATTTTCTTGCGCAGGCTGTAGCGCCTGTTATGTCGGTGAGACAAACCGACATGTTGCTACCTGTGTTCATGAACATTTTATCAGACAAGAAATCGCACATCTTTCAGCACATTCATGGGTCAGAAACATGTAGAGATTTGTGCTCAGAGAATTGCTTTTCAATCCTTGACACCGCCTCCACGCCTTTTCAATTGGAAATCAAGGAGGCCTTACACATAGGTTGGGAAAACCCCTCATTAAACAAGCAAGTTAATCATGTTAATTTATCACTTTCATTTTAATTTTTCCGTGTTAATTACCCATTTACGTTAGCTATCCTTTATATCATACCAACTAGCCGTTCATTTGCATTGGCAGCTGACGATGGATGTTGTTCATCCGAAACATGTTTTGTAAACTCAAAACTGTTTTTTTTTTAAATATGCCAGACTGCTGGCAATTCCATTCCCACCTCTCTTTCTACTGAAGTAAGTGAAGAACTAAAAAAGTGGCAATTGAGAAAAACCCAGGAAAAAAGAAACAACAAATAGCGAACATGACGTGAAATGTTTTAATAATAACAATATTTAAAATATTCAACAGTATGCTGGGAACGACCGTCTAGGCTTCGTGTGCAAGGAGGACTTCGCAGACAAGAAAAAGCCCATTCAATGGGAAGAGGCTATCAAAATATTGCGAAGCGAATTCACTAACAACCTGGTTATCCAAGCATTCTTGGATGTGATGCACCAGGAAGTTGTTGTACTCACTGTACACAGGTTAAGAGGATTTGTTATAATAGTGATACTACCACTACAACAGCCGCCACTGCTGCTACTACCACTAACGATGATGGTGATGATGATGATAATAACAATTGATTTGTAATAAGACAGCTCATCTCCAAAAACATTTTCAAAATGAATAACATCCACTGTTTGTAAGGTTTCTCACTTTCAAGTTTCTCATTTTTCATGGTTAATGAATTCGCAAATTAACGCGTTGCGAAAATTTTATCTGATGCTAAAGGGGTGAAGGAAAAAAATTAAGAACTTCGGTTCTGAAATTTCCACGATTTAAGAAGTCTTAATAGGCGGTAAAGTAAAATAGCAAGTGACTCTGTTTACAACTTCAGGCATCTAAGATCGTTGTCGTTATCCTTATTATTTCAGTACCACGGTATGCCCTGATGATCCCGTCAAAATTGAACCAGGGAGTGGTTGAGACGAAGAATTGCTACAACCCGCTTTCAGATAAAACCGTTGTGCATTACAAATTGAACCAGCACATGAATTCTGTTATGAAAGCAACTCAGAGGGCGAGGATGGGAAGTGGGAGAGAAGCGAGCAATGGGCCCATTCCTTTTTGTGATTTGCTGGCTAAACAAGGCAAGCATGTTCTTATTTCGTTTATCCACTCGAGGCAACATTGTGGCAACAACAACTGCAACATATGCATCGAACTCCCTCACTGAAACAACTTGTTGTACACTGCGTTTGCTCGTTGAAGCATTACAGGCGATATCGTAAACTTTTCCCATTTCTAGGAGGAATATTTTCCCATAATAGTTGACTTAATAATAATAATAATAATTATAATAATAATAATAGTACTAATAGTAATAATAATGACTGATAATTAAAATGATATTAATAATAATAATAATGATGATGATAATTATAATATCATTAATGATTACTTAGCTGGTTCAACCACCCTGAAAACATCACATACAACACTGTTGCGATAACAAATTTACTTTGTTTGGCCAGTTCAAGAAACATTTCGGCAACATTCCTTTGTAGAAGTTGTATAGGGCATGTTAGTTGGAACTTCTTTTAGGCAATATCTCTACTGGGGGGGGGGCTCATAGAACGGAATAGACTCCTCGAAGCAACAATTTCCTTCTTGCCCTTGAATGGATGATAAAGTCAGGGGTTTTGACTGCCACTTTTTGGAATACCGAGTAGCCCATGCAATCCAGTTCTTTTAGATGGATTGTTTTAGTTAACTGGGTCCTATATGGCCATTTGACAATGTCCATAACTTTTTTCGCATAGTGCCTCAGGAGTCTCAGATAAAGATCTCAAAAACGCTATGTACAGTTCACTTCAAGCTTTAACTGAAAGCAGGTATAAAAATTTAAATCTGTAATGTGTAGCTATTGGATGAAACTTTGTACGTCATACCATTATTAGCTACGCGCGCTAACTTGTTTTGACCTTTTTCTTCAATTCTTAGCAAATAAGAGTCGGAACCGAAATCTGACGACTCCATCATTCAGGGGAAGCTGAAACAATGCAAATATTGAAATCCTTATGGGTCGATGAACAAAAAGAGACAGTGAAATCCCTACCCATTGGAATCATTGGACTTAAAAGATACGAAATTAAGGATTTTCGTCAAAAGCTCGATGCCCTTCAAGATGGCAGAAAATGGAAAAAATATTGTCCCACTGAATGGAAAAACCATGGCCTTGTGCGCTTTGCTGATTGCAAGGGGTCGTACGAATGCGTCCAAAAACAGTGTCCCTTTAAGATGGAATTTGGTGTAACAAATACAATGCAGTTCGAAAAGGAAGGAGGTGAAATGATTTACAAAGGCTGTGGTAAAGTGCGCGAAGGTATCTTAGTTATCGTAGTAAAGCAGTGACTGTTTACCACATTGGTAATCACACATGTCCCGTCAATGACAGTCTCCGAAAAAAGGACGTGATGAGCATCGAACAAATTAGACGGAATCAACCAAACATCAAGCCCTCCGAGGTACAGTCGGCGTTCGTCATGTCCGCATTTCAACAGTAAATGGACTGGAAAGCAGTCGAAAGAGAGGCCAGTTCTGTATCGGATAAGAAACGTGTATCTAACATGAAACAGAAAATGAAGAAGGATATAGAGCCTTTTGGTCACAACTTTGAGGCCACTGTCTCTTTTAAGGAGTATGCAGACAAAAAAGACCCCTTATATGTGTACAAAATCAATGACAATAGAGGGCACACGGACATGCCATCCTTTGTATCCAAGACAAGCACAACGAAAATAAAAATGGCATTAAACATGGACAAAAAAGGGGACCATTTTCTGAGCAAAGAATTTTGTTTTTTTGATGGGAAAAGGAAACGGTGCTCGCTAACAGCCAGTGAGTATCATCCTTTGCTGCGCAAACAGTTACCGCTGGCTACAATGGAGGCAGTGACCGAGGACACGGTAAACGTCGAACTGCTACATTTGACCCTATAGGCTGGTGTAGCGACATGGTAGGTGCTAATTTCGCCGGAATTTCAAAGGTTTTTGGGGATGAAGTCGAAATTAAATCCTGTGAGTTCCACTTTAAAGACCACAGAAACAAAAAAGCTCAAAAACTAAACAGTAAGAGCAATGGCGAGTTTAAACAACTGTGTGACAGGCTGTTGCCAAGTCTGATATGGACTAGCATGTCGCCAAGTATCTACGAGTTGATCATCACGCCTCCAACAGTGAGAAAATGTTATGGGTATGGTAACGACCTGGGTGATAAATACAAAACTCCACCCTGTAATATTATAATAAAGCATGTAGACAAACGGGTCACCGGAAAAGATTCTGCAGCAGGTCAGCTAATACACAGTCAGGACTATTCAAACACGTTTTATCATCCCATAGCGGCTCATATAACCAAAAAGAATCCGCTTTTTTTTCGGCCAAGTTTACGTCAGGTATGAGCTTTACAACTCATTGGATGATGACCAGTGCAATTACGTCAACATCCTTAACAGCCTAAATATTTTTTTTAAGTAGGCTTTTAATTGAATGGGTGTAATTGCCGCATGCCTGCGGTATTTTGAAATTTCACAAGGAAGAGGCAAAACAACGGTACTTCTTGTACCGAGGTTTGTTAAAAATTTTGGCGATACACCACTTCAGCTTAACCTTTATTTCTCTGGAACTACATATTAGGAGTAACCAATTAACTTTTTAACTGAGTCGATAAAGCTTATTGTCAAACTTATTCAGTTGCGTGATATTTGCAGTTTCAAGTTTCGTTTTCCGGAGCAATCGAAAATGTAGTGGGTCTGGGATATATACCCCTTAAAAGTACCGTTGTTTCGATCTCTTCCTTTACTCCTCCGTACTTCGCTTTCATTTCGGAATTTCAAGAGGCTTTAAACTGATGGTGTGAATTTCTTGTTAGTATTTGCTATAGTTGTTTGCCAGCCTGTGAAGTCTGTGAATGCGGTATTTGACAAGTTGTGTTTATTACATTGTTATCGTTGAGTTTTCCATGTTTTTGTCTTACAGGCAGAAAAATAATCACGCTGACCCAAGTCTCACATAGAACAAAACTAGTGGACGTGGGAAATATTAAATACAAACAGTGAAAGTTAAAAGATTAGCAGCCTTTTCATGAGCGAGTGAAACGTTAGACAAGAAAACCATTGGGTCTCTGCTTTCAATATTCAATATTATTTACTCGAGTGTTACAATGATACATGATGCACGTGCCACTAGATGTTAATGTAATATCACCTTCATCACCGTGGGAGTGTAAAAGTTATAAACAACACAAGACAAATCAAACAGGCACCGGAAACTCGAGTAAACACGAACCTCCTTGAAAATTTGATTTGACGACGTTCAGAAATAATTGTGGAGGATTTTCCGACCCTCGATTAGTCATAAGCGAGTGAAATATTAGGCAACAAAACCATTGGGTGTGCTATCAATATTCAATATTATTTACTCTAGTGTTACAACGACAAATGATACATGTGCCCCTAGGTGTTAACATAAAAATAAAACAGGCATTGGAAACTCGAGTAAACACGAAATTTTGATTTGACGACGTTCAAAAATTATTGTGGAAGTTTTTTCGACCCTTGACCATGTACCCTCAACCCTCGACCCTCGACCAAAAGGCAAACTCCACCCCAGGGAAATGATGTACAGCCCATAGGCCCCATAGGCCTCTATTATAAAGGAATAAGCACTTTGAAAAAGAAACAGTTGTCTCGTGCTGGTACATCCAAATGCCTTTGGACATTATCAGTCAAAAATTAATTGCATGTCATGATTTTTATATACATGTATGGTTTGTATCCTCGTAAATATTAAAGCGTCCCTTTACGATCATAGTGGCTTAATTTTTTGTGACCCTCATCCTTTTGCAGCCATTTTTTCATAGCCCTCCATTCTTGAAGGGTTCAAAAATCTGTGACCCTCACCTGTTTTCCACCTCCCCTCCCCCGCCCCCCGCTAATTTCTGACAGTAATGACTTAATGTAAGTACAAATTCAACTCCATTTACCTGAAAGAAAGATTCTGAT